AATCTTCCACCAAAGTTACACATTTCAATAATCCAACCAAAGTTACACATTTCAAGGGCTGGCACAGAATCACAGGATGGTTTGGTCAGCAGGGCTCTGAGGGATCTGATCCATTTTTCTTAATGTTAGTCCTATGTGATATTAAGTTCATATAATTATTGTATTACAATAAATCACTTAATTGAGATCCAAAATATATGAGACCTTTTTTTTGTTTTCCCCCACTTTAAAAAAAAAAATTATTTAGGGACTCACTTTTTGTATGGCTGTATTTTGTGGCTTCACAATGAGGCTTTTACTAACACATATGGTATGAACATGATTTGGCTCAGATGAACTGGAAGGTCTTGCTGGACTCACAGACCTGCAATACAAACATTTAATTGTTGAACACAGTGTTCTGTAACATTTTCTTTGTAACATTTTCTTAAACAGGATCCTCTTTTCATAATGGGATTTTGCAAGGACTTTCTGCCTGGTTATAGTAAACAAGGGAAGTAAAAATTGTCTAGCACTCCTGCAAGAATAAAAATAAATATTGATTTTTTAGAAACCAGTAGTCTGTTAAATTAGCTTCTGCAATCTGTGGAAATGCAGCTTTGTAACACCCAGGAGACTATTCTAATGAATCTAACATTTAAACAGTAATGACCTCAAATAGGAAAGTTTCAGCTCACTCAGCTGAGTTTAGATAAAAGGCCATGCAGTGTAATGAAACTGTTTCAGGCAAATGAAAATAAAGGCAATACTTCCATCACTGCTTCATTTCCATCCCAAAAGGAAAGAGGGATATATTCAAACCAATACCTGTGCTATTCACTGCCTATCAATGAAATTAAACCAACCCAGGGAAAACACTGTTGATAATGGTGAGTATTTTTTGTCAAGGCTGGCTCTTCCTAATACATTCACAGTAAACACCTGTGTTTACTGCTCCCTTCCTTAATATCTATTGGAATATAATTAGGGAAAATGGGCATACCTTAATTTCTCTATTGTTGTCTTCTTGCTTGTAAACAACCACCTCATGAAAGTCTTCCTTTTGAGGTACATGATTGATCCAGCAAAGATAAGGCACAGGATGGTTATCAACACTCCTATGGTCAAACTCTTATTGTCTGCAAAAAAAATCACATGGAGTTAACTTCTTCCTAGGGCCTGCTCACTGCCTGGCCAGGTTTTTTTTGCTGTCTTCAAAAAACAAAAATCTTTCAGCAGTGAAATCATGATGGGAAGCTTTGTCATGGAAATAACCATGCTGTCATAATTTCAGTATTGCCACCCACTGCAGCATCTGGCATGCAGAGGAGAGATCCATTTTGGTTTAGAACAGTATTGTTCATATGAAAGCAGACATTATTTCCCATTGAGATTTAGTTTGTACATCCACTTGTGAGGAGACTGCTTGGTCTGTCATGTCCTCAGACATAAACCAGGAACATCTCTTTGAGGTCACTAATGTTCCAACACTCTAGGGAAAAACTGGCACGGAATAATGAAATCCTGTAAAATTAACAATGTGGAGAAATAATTCCTTCTGAGGTTGACCAGTTTCCCCTCTTTATCCTGTAAAAACATTCAGGTGGAGCCTGAATTCCCACTGACCTGCCTGTCGGATGGGCCCACTGTCCACGCTGCCACCAAAGCCTGGCTTGTCACAGAAGGGGGGGGCCCAGTCCGCCTCACAGTGACAGTTCTTTTTGTTGTTGCAGACCTGCAAAACAAGACAAATGGCTTAACATAAAAAACACCCGAGAGCAGCCCTGGCTGATAAGAGCTCCTAATCAGACAGTGACACATCAGAGAGGAATAAAACTTGGAGAAGAAAGGAGATGTGCTGATAGCTGCCTGCTGCACACTGAGGTGGCAAAGAGCAACTCGCCACGGAGGAAGAGGGATCCTAAAAACCATTATTTCTCTGGCAGGAAATCGTTGGAGTTGCCCCAGCTGACAACATCAATAATATGAGGATAATCAGACACCTCTTAAAGTCTTGTTCTCTGTTTGCTTCCAGCAGCAGCAGCATTATCTGCCGGGTCACTTCAGCTCCTCCTGCCTGCACAGGGGCAGCAGAGCTTTGTCAGCCCCCCAAGTATTACTGAGGGGGTACTGGGGACAGCCAAAGGCATGGAAAGACTATTGATTATTAGAAATCTACAGTTCTTATAGAAACAATGGTGGGCCTAAGACCTTTGGGAATCTTCTCTCACACTATTGGTGAATACGAACAGCACACTCTAGAAAACCGTATCTATAAACAATGGAGAGAGAGATAATAATTGTTGGAATTCTTTTCTCTAAGTTTTCCCAGGATTTTCCTGGGAGAGCCATGTCTCTCTCTGTTCAGAAGAGATGTAATCACTACACCCCGAGCTCTCCTCTCCACAAGGCCTTGCACTGAGCCCAGTATGGATTTTTCCATGGCTCCAAGATGAACAGTTCCTGAGTAAGCTGTGAAATGGGCTCAGGGCTGAGGAAACCCTTGGGGAGCTTTGATACCTGTCCTGGGTTCACTATATGACGCTTTTATCCCCAGTTGTCTCGTTCTGTTTATGCTGACTAATAAATGAGTTTTCAGTAAGCCACCCATGAGTTCACAGGAGTTTGGGTTATTGTGAGCATGCAATATTCTGCCCAGGTCAGCCTAGCAGGCTTTCAGAAACACTGTGCTCCCTGTGTCTGCAGAGCACTAAAATATTCAGAGAGCTCAGACTGGCTGTGGTCATGTAAAATTAAAAAAAAAAAAAAAAAAGATTTACATTTCAAAGGCAGCAAGATAATTAAAAATACACTTTGTTATATACTTTGTTAAGCATTATTTTTGAAATTAAAGCACTGCAGGAGTTCCCATTTACAATTCCATGAGGTCAGTTTTGCCACTGAGGAGTCACCAAAGGTTCTTGTTTGTACAGACATAAAAAATGCCAGTCCAAGTTTCTGCTCATTCCATCCTCAATGATAAGAGGCAGCACCATCAACACTGCTCCATTTTGCAAATTCAGGGTGATAAAATAAGTTAAAGCAAATTAAAATCCTTCCTCAGAGAGGACAGTGAATGTCTATGGCTCTTCCAATGTGGCTGCCACAGCTTTTCAGAGAAACAAACAGCTCATCAGCACATCAAGGTTAATAAGGCAAAGCTTGGCATAATTAACATTATCATAATATAAACTGGGTTTCAAACCACTGATATTATTAAATGATATCATCACATTTTTCATTCTGTGCCACTTTCATGCCACAAAACTCATCAATACGGTTTTACTTTTTTAAATGTTTTTGGAAATGCTGTTTCATTTGCCTCTCAATCCAAACACTTCCAATGCTCAATTCAAAAACTTTAACTTCTTTATATCTATGGAGAAACTGCATTTTTGATTTTTAATGGGAATTCATGATGGAGGGTCAGACTTCAAATTGCTTTGAGGATTACAAGATTCCTTTGTCTCACAGGCTGTCAATTAAGAACAAGATAATTACTGCCTGATAAACTTTTCTTTGTCAAATAAAAACAATTTCATGTAAGTCATAATGGAAATGGAAATACATAATAAAATGTATTGCAGTGACTCTGGCTGATCTATTGCAGGCAGTTATAGATCTCAAAGCCATTACAGAAAGTGGTTTCTTGTCCAGTGGTCACTGAGGGATTGTAAAAAATGTTTTCCTAGGATGCTTACCCCCCGTCCATGGCACTTGGTGGCACATTTATGGACCCCAAAAACACTGGTGTTCTGGCACCGCCGGTTCAGGCAAATCTGCAAAATAAATAAAAAGGATTTTGAACAGGGACAGAGCTGCTGGGGCTCCCAGGGCATCCTATCCCTTCCTTCAGCAGTTAAACATTCCCAACACACAAACATATATCATTATATGGCCACAAAGGACACAAGGATTGGGTGTCTTCTTCTTATTTCTCTCAGCCCCTTTTAAATCTCTGAAATCCAAATCTGAGCAAGCTGAATTCTGCTCTCCTGGCCAGCCCTGGCTCCAAACACACATTTCATAGTGTTGATATGCTGAGCTTGTGCAAGCAAATCCTCACAGACACACTCAGATGGAGCTGGCGAGGAGGCCCTGGCGTTTGGGAGGTTTTTAAGCCAATTTAAAAATCAGTAATTTCTATTTTTTTTCAGGAGTAGGAGTGCACTGAGCAGGATTCCTTCAGGTTCCTGCTCTGAATGCCTTCCTGTCTTCACCGCAGCAGGTGATTCCTCAAGCAAAGCTTTGGATCCTCATGGTGTAAATTATCAGAGTTTTGTTTCTATCAATAGTGAAATATTTTTCATTCCACTACAGGACCCAGAGTAAGTGAATATTTAAGTGAGGTCATTGATTTTTATGGGCTCATCAGTGTTTTCCACGAAAACCAAGATCTTTCTAAGTTTTTCCACATTGAATTTTTTTTGGTGTCAAATATAAACCAACCCTTTTTAACATTTAATATTTACAGGAAATGGAAGTCAACAAATAGCATATGCAGAGGAATAAAATTCAATATTTTTTTTGTTTTCCAGTCATTGCAGATAAACTTTACGCTGCCAATGGAGCTGAAAATTGAGGTTAAGCAAGATTAGTGCTGAGCAATAATAACATCAAACAACCACACAACTGATGAGCACATCAGTAATGAGAAGTTACCCTACTCCAAACAGAAAAAAGAAGAAATTAGGACTGGAATAACTGTTCCTATGCTATGTTGACAACAAAAAAGGTCAAAAAGCCCCACACTGCACATTTTGCTCATGTTTAACTGCAGTGCAGTTCAGTAGTACTAAAAGTCAGTCACAATAATTAGCATTAAGCTGGGAATGGTGTTGAAGGAGGCGACAGGGATGCTTAATCAGGGCACTTATCCCCTGGGGAGAAGGAAAAATGGAAAGGAAATTAGAGTGAATTGGCATCAACATGCAGGCATGGAGAGAATATGGTCTGATTACAGCACTATTCACAATTCAAATATTCACAGTGCAGCAGCTCCCAGAATTCTGATCACATTAAAATGGCTGCGTTTCAAATTGTGCATCTCCAGTTGAGAAAACCCAAGAATATTTAAATTCATATTCTTAATCCATAATACAAATGCACTAATGTCCTCAAAGTAAAACATACAATTTCAGAAGTATTAGCCTGTGTATTCTATAGTGTGGATGTGTATGATTAGATAGATTAGAAAGATTAAATACTCATTAGTAAAACATAATGGGGTGCTTTCTCAGCGCTGAGCTGCCTTTGAAAAGACTTTTTAGAACAGATTGACTTAGAAATGTTGTAAGGGTTGTTTTCCTGTAGCAGAGCTGTGGTTTCACTGGGGATGGATTTCAAACCTGTTCCCAGCACAGTGATGTAATCCAACGTAATTCAAACGCTTTCAGAAATTCAGAAGCTTACTTCAATTTACCACAAATTATCAAAGCACTTGTTTTTCCTCCTTTTTGCAAGCAATCCACTGAGGGAATGGAAACCTCCTTCATTTCAACAGCACTTGGACTGCTTTCCATTCCTCCTCCCCCTGTAAACTCATGGCTGCCTCCCATCTTTCTCAGTTGCTTTCCTCACTAAAGAAAAACTTAGAATGAGTTTTTTCACAGCCATGTGAAATCTGGGCTGCATTTGCAGTGGGTAATTCACAAAGTTTGCAAAACACAAACACTAAAATCAGTTTTGGTTGCTGAGCATCAATGGGTTTATAGTTTTCTAAGAGTGCATACAGAGATAGGGTTTCCTGCATGAAAAAAATAAGTGGGGGGTCATAATCAGAAGATAAAATACATTTTGAAACCTAAAATGAAGTTAATGACAATTTTGCAATGCCAGAGCTGCTGGGAAAGGGAACACATGGAGCTCAGGAATTCATTAATAAGCCTGTAATGTATTTTGCTGTACTTATTTTGCAGGAAACCTCAAACCTCCATGGGCAGATACTTGGGACTGTCTTGAAAGAATCAATCATAAACTCAAGCAGCTTGCATTGCCCAGAATCCCAGGATGGTTTGGGTTGGAAGGGACTTTAAAGCCCATCCATTTCCAACCCCCTGCCATGGCCAGGGACACCTCCCACCAGATCAGGTTGCTCAAATTTGCATCTGAAAATCCATCATCCAGAACAGTGGCCAGAAGGGAGCAAAATTTGTTTCAGTCTCAGCATGAGAAGCAATTATTTTGTGGGGGAGGAAAAAAAAAAATTCCAAAGAAAAAAGAAGCACAAAACATTTGGCAGAATGATAGCAGCGATGTTCCCTTGTCTGGGAGCATTCCAGAATCTTACTTTCCCATCTCCACACTTGGTTCCTGCCAGCACCAGCCCAGGGTCAGGCATATCATCCCCCAGGTACACGTGGGTGCCACGGCACAGGATCTTGCCCCCCTCCTGCAGCGGGATGTTGGTTTCTATGGAAACTGCGTTGGTACCGATGACGGGTCGGTTGGCTCCTCCTTGACACTGGATTTTTCCACACTTCGCATCCCTGATGGCAAGAAACACAACACGAGCAGGGATGAGGTGAATCATTTGAAACGTTCCAAGCCCTCTGCCAGCACCTGTTGCTGTGCTTGCAGGGAGAGGCCCTACCTGGGTTCACATTTGGCAAAGGAGCTCTTGGAGTCCTTCCCGCAGTTGCCGTAAGGGTCTCCGGCAGAATTGACTCTCTCAAAGCAGATCCCAGGAGCGGGTTTTGCACCTGAAACAAAACCTAATCAGAACTCTCATCTCATACAAGGTGTTTTTAATAATTTCCTTTGAGCTCTGCTGGTGCTTTAGGGGAAAGGGGGGATGTGAGCTGAATGCTGATGAGGCAACAAAACAGCGGCGCTGGATGCGCATGCTAATGGAAGAGTTTGGATGGGTGGGATTGCCAGTGTTTGTCTCTGAGCAACAGGCAGTGCAGAACTCCTTCTCCTCCAGGATTTCTGTAGCAGGTAGGGCCTGGCGTTCGGAAGATCTCGTGATGTTACGGGAAGACAGGGCCCTTGCCCCCTTAGATAAGAAAATTAACATAGGAATGTAGCTCCCTAAACCAGTAACTTTCCACTTGCCCAGGTAACTTTCCATCCCTACTAACCATAGATGGTAAAGACAGACCCCCACCTGACGTAGAAGCCCCCTAGACTATAAAACCTCACGAGAAGAGAGAATAAAGGCCTTTGATCCTCCACCATATTGGTGTCCGCGTGTTTCTTAGGCCCGAGCGACCCTAGAGAAATGAGTCGCCGTGCTGTTTCCTGAAACCAGGCCGCCTGCCTTGTATCAGAAGGCAACAGATTTCTCAGCTCATAGCCCTCTTGCCAATCCTCCTAGGACACAAAAACTTCTAGCAAACACCACACAGACAAAGGCCAGCTGGAAAGTTGACTATCTTCTTTTGCAGGAGGCCATGCTCTAGTGAGACCCCAAAGAAAATTCTTTTCGAGAAAGGCCTGTTTGACTGCAACTGGGAACAAGCCAACAGAGAAAACCCAGTTGTAAACTGGGTGTAAAGGTGTGAGGACCTGACATGGCAAAAGGAAATGTGCTGCTAGTAACTCAGGCTGAAGGACTGGGGAGAGGAAAGGAGCCCATCCCACCTTAGCCCTCAGGACATCCACTCCTGAGAGGAGAGACTGACATGGACCAAGGGGCATTTCTGCCACGGTGGTAGAAGTGGGAATCTGGGAGTTCAGGCAGCATCTGGCTCGTATCTACTGTGATCTTTTCTGATAGAGACATATCCTAGTGGCAAAGGAACTTCCCTGGTGGGAGTAGGGCTGGAAAAGCTCGCGCAGGCAGTTTATTCATCCCTGCACTTCAGAAGTTCAAGGGCACCATTAGAACATCTCTTCTACTGTTTTATACACAAAATCTCCTGCTCATTTCCCTCCAGATTATTAACCAATTACAGAGTATCTTCTAGGGGAAGATGCATCTGTTCATCTGGAATGTTAAAGAGGTGAAGGATCTGCTTCCCTGGTTTGACTGCTGCAACAATTCATTAGTCAGTGTACTGGAATTTAATCCCTCTGTTCTACAATGAAGTATGGCTTTCATTTCCAGCCAATAATTGCTGCTTCTTGCAAGATTAAGAGGCCCTTTGTTAGGGCTCTTTGCTACTCTGCATTTCCTTTCCATGAAAACAATTAAGAGCACCATCAAATCACCACCAACATTCCAACTACTCCAAGAGGGAGACTGGCTTGGAGCAGCAGAGGAGAAACTCTGGCTAAAACTGAGATCAGAGACCTGCTACCTGCATTTCTGTGCTTCTGACACATCAGCCAAACCAAAGCAAAAAGAACTTGGCAGCAAGTGATGTGATAGCCCAAAGGCTGAGAATATCCCATTTCTACAGTGCTCCTGATCTTTACCAGACACAGAACATTTCAACTAATGCTACATTTTGTCAAATGTTTTGAGTCACTTCCAAGTATCTATGCCTCTAACTGTGGGTAAAACATTGCATTTATTTAAGCCAGACTGAAGATTTCATTTGAAAGCATTCAAAGAGGAAAATGTTTTTTTGGTTTTTTTTTCTTAAAAAAAAAAGGGGGGTTAGATTCCTGGAGAAGAAAATACAAATATGACTGTAACACTTCCAGCCAGTGTGGATCTTTTCACTGAAAACTCAGAGATTAAAACTTCAATTAATTATCTGCATTTCATAGTCAGAAGCTTGACTAATACTATATACTGCTGAACAGCAATCTAATGCTATTAAGGACAAAATATTAAAACTTGGAGAGGCTTAAGATGGCACCCTCTTTTCCTTCTAACATTTTAACATGCTGAAACTGGAAAATTCAGCAAGAAAGGCACAGAAGGAACAGAATATGAGCTGATGGTTCCCTGGAGAGAAGGACAAGAGCTTGAAATTCTTTGGAAGATTATGTTCAAGCTTGCTGAGTTCAGAATATTTTTTCAAATCTGGAACTCCTAAAAGGGACTTACACAGGATTCTTTCAATTCTTTTTCATTAAGTTCAAGCAATAATAATAATAAAAAAAAAAATCTACAAAAGCATCCAGACGAGGCACTGTGCAGAAAAAGCAAAAGTTAAATTTCCATTTTCAGCATGTGGATCTCTCCTCATCTTTCCAGGGGGGGCACACTCAGTGTTCAGCTTGAGACAAACATTACAATGTGCATATTCCATAGCAGCTTTGGAAGGGCTGGGGAGGGAAGAAACGTTCTGGGAGCAAGAGGCCAAGGAAACCTGCTTTTTCTAAAACTGCTTTTTCTAAAATGCTTTTTCTAAAACTGCTTTTTCTAAAACTGTTTTTTTCCAAAACTGCTTTTTCTCCCACATGCGCAAGGAGCAGCTTGTGCAGCCCTGGTTGTGTGCAAGTGCTCTGGGTGCTGTTTTTGGCCAGGAGCCTCAGCCCAGCTCAGCTGCTGCCATGGAACTGAGTGGCTGGATGCTCCCTTGGATGCTCCCTTGGATGCTCCCTTGGATGCTCCCTTGGAGCTGTGGCAGCACAGCCCAGAGCCAGACACGCTGTGCCCTCAGAGCTGTCCCCTCCCAAAGCTGCCACAAAGCCAAATGAATGCTCATGTCCTGTGCTCTGACTGCAAGGGATGTAACAAAGGCTTATTCTAAAAATGGTTTTAAAAGGGAATCCACTCACTGAAAACAGGGAGAGTTTAAGGTGTTTCTCTTTCACCTGGTGGAAGTTTTTTTTTTTGGTGTGGCTGATTTTTTCCTGAATTCAGCAGCCTGGCGTTGCAGAGATGATGGAAAGCAGCCCCCAGGAAGGAAAACACATCTGCAGGGCTCAGACACTGAGCTTTAACTCCAGCTAATAACACTTGACAAGAAAAAGGATCTCGTGGAGCACAAAACCCCACTCCCCTGCCAGGCTGGGAGCAGTCTGTGTGTGGAAACACCTGGTACCCAATGATCATCTGCAGCCTGGAAACCAAAATCCAGCTTCAATTCCTGCCTTTGGTTTCCAACCAAGACATGCTGTTGCTTGGGATTCAGATGGCTGTTCCCTCTCCCCCCTGGCTTCTCACAATATTTGTACTTTTTTATGGATGAAAACATATCAGAGTGTGAGATGCTGAACAGATGGAGCTACCAAGTTAAAAGGAGGTTTTCAGAGGATGCTTAAGGAAGAGAATTGCAATGTTGTGTTTCTGGAGGAAACCCATTTATCATGAGTGCACCACATAAACTGAAGCAGAAAGTCCTGTCTTCCTCTATTTTCTACCTCTGCAGGCAGAGGCAAAATGATTTGTGAAGGATTTCTGGGGGTTATTAAGTGGTTTGAGCTGGATGAGCAGAGTTTATTTCACTTTGCTATTGGTAATTACAGTATCATGACCCTGTAATTAAGGTCCTGTCAGCCCTTCCATGCCAAGCCTCATTCAAGGGATTAAATCGGCCCCTGGAAGCTGCAGAAGGTCAGAGCTCACCCCTGCAGCTGGCAGCCTGGAGGTTGTTGGGGTTTTTCCTCCAAAAGTGTATATTGATGAGCCCACTTCTTTCCCTATGCAATTGTAAAAAAATAAATTAAAAAAAGAGAAGTTGCAGGGCACAGAAATGCTGTGTCATTCCAGACCTGCTGCCATACGAAAACACCAACAGAGTCTCTTGAAGGGAATGAGGGAAATTTCTGACCATGGTGCTGATTCCATGAACACGAGAAACATCCTCTGTCAGGCTGACAGCAGAAAAGGAAGATATTTCAGTCCAGCTCCCAGCTGTCTGTGGGTGGGGAGAGGGGAAAAAACAACCTTGAGTAACAGGCTGGAGTTGTGTGGCTCAGGCTGTGCCAGCCACCACCACGGATTGCTGTGCAAACAAATATGAGCATAAAAACCACAGTTCTCTGTCGTGTGATCTGGGCTTCAGCTCATTAACTTTGTTTTTGCTGCAAAGCAAAAGTTCCACGAGCTGCCCTTGGCCTCTCTCCCCATCCTGGTCATCCCTGTTCTGTCTGGACAAGAGCAAGATGGGGTTGAGCATTTTTTTGCCTTTAAGGAGGATGACATCACCACCTCTGAGAATATTATTTAATGTCTTTCCCATGTCCAGAAGAAAAAGGCCTGGCCATAAATCTGTGATGGTCAAAGTAGTTTGATTTCACTGAATTCGGGAAATTGCAGTGTTTGGACAATTATGGCTGGGTCAGATATCTGAGGTGGGCATTTAATTTATTTTGTGTCTGTAGGGATCTCCCTGGCAAAACCTGCTAAGTTCTCACTCAGTAACAGATATTGACATCTAAATTAAGAATGTTCCTGCCTAAACAAATGGCCATGTCCATGCAACACATTTAAATGTGTTCTAATTATTAAATCAATGCCTGCCATTGGTTCCCCAAAATCATTGCTTTTTTCCCCACTTGGGGAAATACAGGAAAACAAACTGACAAACTTCCCTAAAGAATCATTTTCTTGTCAATGCAGAAAAAGCCATGAGTTTGAAGTTGAGAATCTTCTGTTCCTTGGTAACCAATGATTTCTGTCTTGAGCAGCTCTATCTGTGTCTGTTTCTCCTGGAAATGCCACCACACAAAGCATCACCACTGATGTCACTGCTATCAATAGGTCAGATCAGTGCAATCTGATAATTCTGAATATGGACCAAAAAAAGGTCACCAGCAGTTCCTGCTTCCCAAAGATAAAAATGACATTAATTATGGAGAGAGAGGGTGGAGAGCTCTGGGAGCACACTGGAACCAACCTGGGCTCTGAGAGGAACTCATGGCTATTTTAGAGATTGTCCCCAGGAGCTCCTCCCTTCTCCTTCCCACCAAGCTTTCCACACAGACAAGAAAGAGCAAAAAAAAAAAAAAAAAACTTCCTGTATTTTATCTGAACCACTGTGTTCAGAGAAACAAAAACAACCCCAAGGAAATGCAAGTGCTTTTCTGGAAACAGGTTCCTACTGCTCAGCCTAATGTAAACAAGCTCTGACAGCGTTCATCATTTTCCTCTAAACAGATCTAAAAACATGAAGATTGACATTTATCATTGGGCTTCTGGACATCTGTAACCTGATGAATAAAGAAAGATGTACAAGGGAAGACATTAATAAGGAATTCAATATACCAAGTATTATTTTAGGAAAAGTTATTGTATTTTGTTCTGCATGGATTCCTCCTACTGGGAAGAAGAAAATAAGGAGAGAATGAAAATGAATTGTAATATGATTTTTCTTTAGAGGGGGATTTTTTTTTTTTAAACACAAAACTACTTCAACACAGGCAGTTAAAAACAGTTCTAATCAGACACAACAACCTGGTAAAAGGTTCCAGTGTATATTTTTGATACAAAGTCCAGAGACAACATCTTAGAATGTCAAATCTCTCTTTGTGCTGCAGGCAAGTCTGGAAAAACATGTAGTTTTTTAATCTGTACCATGATCTGTACAATTTTTCCAACTGCATGAGCCACCCACCTCTCTTCTCATTCCACCCCAGATCTGCCAGCTCACACTTCAGCCAGATGTGTGACAGAGCTGTGGATATTCACATCCCTGGTCTTTAAATCCAGTATATGGGCATTATTTGGAGTGTCCAAGGCCGGCTAGACAGGGCTTGGAGCAACCTGGTCTAGTGCAGGGGGTGGAATGAGATGATCTCTAACGTCCCTTCCAGCCCAAACCCCTCTGGGATTCTGGGTTTATTTTTAATTTATTCTGCCAAAAACATGGCAAGAATTAAGACTTTCAGTTCAGGTTTCTCATGTCCCTTCCTCCCTATTTAAAATCCTTCTCCTTGGGCCTTCCCAAAACAAAACCAAGAGGTAGTACAGTCAAAATGTGCTTGAACTCTGTTCTTAACATAACGTCTGTCTCATAAAGAGAGATGGAGCCTCCATGCCCGGCAGTGCCCATATCAAACAGCCCCAGGAAGGAAGGCAGGAAAGAACCAGGGGATCCCAGGGCTGTGGTGGAATTGCTGTGTTGGGAAGCAGACCCAGCAAGGAGCTGCAGCAGTTCAGCTCCCTGACCTTTAGAGGAATTTTTTCTCAGCCAGTGACACCACAAACAGCCTGACCAAGTAACTTTCCACGGCATGGGAAACTGGTTCAGGAGGAGATTTTTGCTTTCTACAAGAGGAAATGTCTCAATATGCAGGGATTATGAGTCCCAGTGTGAGTCAGGCTGGAGGCTGTGATTGTCCATGGCTCTGTGAGCTCCCAGCAGCTCCAGGACACGCGTGGGATTGGGGAGTGGAGCACAGCACGCTTTGCTCCACGTGAGGAGCTCAGGTCTGAGCTGGAACCCTCCTGAACGTGCTCTGATACCCACGTGGCCAAGCTGACCTGCTGTCTGCACCACTGGGGCTGCTGCCTGAGATGCTTTAATGCTCTTTTAAAGAGAGATTGCAAAAAGTCCATGTTCTCTGGGAAGGAAACAGAGAAATTCTTCAGTAGTGTTTTGGGGAGGGTTCTGACCAAGGGAAACATCTGTGAGCCCTTATATTGATGCAGAGGTTTTGGAGCAGAGTTAGAGATGCTGAATTGAAAGAAGATGGCAATATTAGTTTAAAAGAAATAATTACACCTATTTCTAAGTAATCCTTCTCCTTACGAGAAAGGGTTTTTCAAATTTGAGCTAGAAGGTCAGAGATGCTGCAGGAGACACGATTTGGATTCATACCAAAATGCTGAGTTAATACTTGCATTTCAGTGCAAGGGTCACAGGGCTTTATAGAAAGGTGAACAGCTTTCCTGGGATTCATGTTGAGAACAACTCAAGAACTCATGTTACCAGACTTCTGCAAAAAGGGAGCAAATTCCCACGGGAGAACAAACCCCTTTCTGCTTCAGTGCACACCCTGCGCAAAGCACAGCCAGGAGGCAGTTTCCAGGTGACACCAGTTAATAAAACACACACAATGATCCAGGAGTCTCATGTCAGTGTCAAAAGCTGAGCCCTGGCTGGGGATGGAGCAGACACATCTGTATGGCAGATGAGCTGTTTGGAGCACAGGAGGAAGCTCACCCAGCAGCCTGAAAAGGGCTGTGATTTCAACCTGCCAGGAGCGTTCAGCACCTTGTGGGGTGACACCAGGCCGTATCAAAGTCAGGAGGAAATGATTTGTCTAAGTTCACCTATCCATTTGCAGCATGTTGCTGCATGAGCCTCGTTACCTCCTGCTGCAAGAAATGAACACGACAGCAAATCAAGGCTGGAATGAATCACCCAGAGATTCCCCCATTATTCCAACAGCTACAGATTGGTGCTGCACCCTCCAGATCTTTATTCCCTCCCCCAGGCCTCTGTCAGACCTGTGTCCCTGTGCTGGTGATGCCTTGTGCAGGCTGCCCTAGAGCAGAGGCTGGACAGAGCTAAAGAATAAAGCAGGGATTTATTCACAGCATCTCCTCCATGGCTCCACCTTGGGCAGCACCAGAGCCCAGCCAGGGCTGCACCCAAGATCAACCAAAATGGCCCCAAAATGCACGGCCGGGCACGGGCTCTGTCCCTGGGATCAGTTCTGCTCCATTTGCACCTTGCAGTTCATTGTCCCATCCCAGCTTTAGCCCAGGCAGTCCCACCCTGCTTGTTTTTCTCTCTCCAGCCCACGGGGTTTGTGCTCTGGGCTGGGATTGGGATCATTTGTCCTTGGTGCCCAGCTGGAGCAGGAATTGTTTTGTCTCCCTGCTCTGTGCACAGAGCTCAGCATCCCTGATGTGAGCCCAGCCCCACACACTAAAGCAGCACAGAATGGGAAACATAGGAAGGCCAAACCTGAGGCCACTCTGGCACTCACCTGGGCCCCAGAGGGTGATGCACTGCTGCTCGTGGGTCTGGCAGATGCCATTGTAGCAGTAGCCATCCACCCCGTGGCACGCGTGCCCGTCGTGCAGGTACACATTGGCCGGGCACTGCGCGCTGGCCCCCGTGCAGAACTCGGGCAGATCACAGGAATTGCTCGACTCTCTGCAAGAAATCCCCGCTGGTTTGAGCTGCAAAACAAACAGAACTTCAGTGGCTGTGCTGTGCCTGGTCAGCCCTGCAGCACAGGAGCAGATTTCCCCCTGGCACGGCCCCAGCTGGCTGCACAGGACAGGGCAGCGATGGCAGAGCTCTGAGTGCAGGGTCTGAGCATGCTGGGAGGCTGTGGCAGCCAGGAGGCTCAGATGAAACTCCACACATGACAGAAGGCAACCCCAGCCCTGATGTTTGCAGGCTGCTCCTTCATCGTGTCTGAGCACAAGAGCTCTGGAAAGGAGGATCTGGTGCCCTGGGAAAAGTCAGGTCAGAGACCTTTCCACCCAGGGCAGCTGATCACATAACACTGCGCTGTGTTAGGGCTCAGGAAGCCACCAGCACACAGGGCTGTGGATTCAGATGCCCAACAATTCACAGCTTGGAAGGCTCAATTCAATGATCTTAAATAGATCTTGAATGTTAATGAATCTATGGAATTACATTACCTCCTGGAAATGTTGTGATGGGCATCAATATCTCCTCAAACTTAGTCACACGATTAACTGTTTGTGCTATACCAATTTCCATGGAAAATGATATTTTTTTTTGGAATGTGCCACTCTGAACATTCACATCTCAACAGCAGCCACAAAAGTCAGGTGTGTTCTGGGAGCAGAGCTGAATTTTAATCACATTGCCTTTGGTAAAAAGCAAAGGACACGGAGATAGATTGATTTTGCTAAAGAGCAATTCCTGGCTGTGAGCATCCCTTGCTGCTCCAAGCTCATAGGTTGCCACAGACAACCTGCTGGATGCTTTATTAGCCCACAGGCAAGGGATGGTCTGAGAATTCAAGCAGGTAAATGCCAGTGGTAAGTTGGCTTTTATAGAGTGTTAGGAGACCACAACAGCTGATGATCTGCTATTAAAAATACATATGCTGTTGATAGAATTAATAATTTAAGAGCCTTCCCCCCAAAAAAGAGGGTTAAGCATTTAATGACTGCTTGCCAAGTAAGAATGAGAAAAATTAAAGCACACATGAAAAAGAAGTTTTGCATGACCAGCTGAAGGGGCCACAAAAAGCACATAGACTATTTAAAAAGAAGATCTGTTGATCTGCTCCTTCAATAATTTATATTTTGGGAAATTTTTAATTGCTCACATGACACACAAGTGTCTTAATGCTTATCAATACCAATTTACCTCTCCTTCATCCTTGCTTTGGGAATTTTCTAATTGCTCACATGACACACAAGTGCCTTAATGCTTATCAATACCAATTTCCCTCTCCTTCATCATCGCTTACTGCACTGAAATAGGGAAAAAATGCAGAATTCTGCCCTCCCCACCCCAAAGAGAGACATTTCCCCAGGTTCACCTGGCAGTCCTTGCAGCAGAGCCCATGTGCACACACTGCTCCTGGGTTCAAGGCACAGGTGGTGGCATTGCAGCACGGGTTTGTGCATTCCTGCATGGATTGGAGGGTACATTTAGAGCAGACAACGTGCAGTCACCATGAGCTGTAAATCAAGAGGCTGCCTATAGCTCTGCCAAGAAAAGCTGGGCACGAAATCATGAATTATGCATGAAATTCGACAACCTGATCCAAACAGCCTTGTCTGCCCTCAGATTCAACAAGCCCAACAAGTGTAGTAAAACCAGAGGAGCTGCTGAGGAGGGCTGGTTTATTCCAGCTATGGATCTAATCCCAAATATCACAAACAACCCGAGCACGCTGACACCAACCCAGACAGAGCACTGGGGTGTACAGGAATCAGTGGAATGACTCCAGTGCCTCCAGAGGGGATCCAGGAGCTGCTGCAGTTGCTGAGCATCACGACCACAGCTCTGCTTTGTGCAAGCTGCTGGCCAGGCTCCTGCTTGGATGGAGGCTGGGGCTGCCACAGAGGAACACAACGACACGATTCCATGTAATCCCTTATCAGAGCACACCAGTAATAGAGCTGTGAGATATGGAGTGGGCATGAATTGCAGCCTCTCTCACTGATACATCCCAATTTCACACTTGTGGATTAGATGGTGCCGTGTGTGGGCTCCTGCAAACTTTATTGTCAGGAGAACGAGCTCGTAAGGAGCCTCAGAAAAGAATGGATTTGTTTTTCCAAGATAATGCCCACAAGCTGCAAGTTACACCAGCTGAGCTGGAATCTCATCTCTCTCACAGAAATAGAAGCAGATAAAATTGCTCTTCAGCTGTGTTAAGTCTGTTTGACTTAGCAAGGGATCACTGACAATAGAGGCAACACAGGAGGAATGAGTGGGTTAGAGTGATGCTCTCAGCCTCTTGTTACTTCCCTGGCTTCTGAAAGCTTCCCAACTGACTCACCAGCACAAACCAGAGGGATTCTCAGCATTTCACTGTTATTTAGGTATTATCTTCCTGGATGTACAAAGCCAACTGTGCTCTGAAGCAGAGGAACAACTTCCTGCTCCTATTTCTGATCACCGGAAAGCAGCAGGCTACAGAAATATTCCTGTGCAGCTGCTGTGTGTCAGGAGTAACATTCCTCTTCTGCACAGAAGCACATTTTATAAATTCACCTCAGAAATAATCTGAGATAAGCAGGGGGGAGCGTCAGTCCCATTAAGGTCATTTTGAAGCAGTCAGCTGCAATACCCCATCCTCTGGCCCCACAGCAGCATTCCACAGGCAGACTGGGATAAAGACACAGCTCTTGGAGAGCTGTTTCAGCAGCCTCTGAGATTTCCAATTGCTGCCTCACTTATTGCTCGTTGTAGGGAATGAGCTTGGTAAATAGTTTTTGTGCCTGGGCTATCAAATTGTCAGGAATGATTTTAACATAAACAAGCGAAAAAACAAGCAAGGCTCACCAGGCTTTGGGAGGATGGAGGCTGCCACCTGAAAGTACTGCTGTGCTGGAGTTTGTTGTTGTTATTATTATTAGTTATTATAGATAACAACAGCAATGATGGGAGGAGGTTTCTCAGTGTGGCTCTCCTGGCTCTTCAGAGGAACCAGAGCAGCCCAATCCCAGAACAATTCCAGCCCCACCTAGGTGATGTCAGGCTCTGTCCTGTGGACAGGAGACCTGAATTTCCCCCTCTCTTTTCTAGGAACACAGGACAGGCCCCACTGGGACAGCCCATAACCCCTCTGTCCCTGTGTCCCCCTGGGAGCAGCCAGCAGGAGATGCTGAAGGACATTGACACCTTCCCATTCTCCTGCCTTGCCCTTGGCTTCCCCTGGGCTTCACAGGCATTTTTAGCACCTGTAAGAGTCAGAGTAAAGGAACTCACAGGTAACCCACACAGTCAGGGGAGCAGCTCCTTCTGCTTGTTTGGAACCTGCCATTTTCTAACTTCATCTGCTCATTTCTCACGGGGGATGATCTCTCCTCTCTCACCCCTTCCATTCCCCTCACAATTTTATCAGCTTATGCTGCATTTCCCTTCATTTTCTTCTTTTCCAGCCAGAGCCCTTTAGAAACTTTGAACCGCCTTATTGCTTTTCTCTCAATCTTTTCTCACTCTGCTTTATCCTCCCTGGGATCAGGGAGGGGTAGGGAAAACCTGCACAAGCAGTTTCAGGCGCAGCAGATTTATAGAGGTCTGCTGGTGCTTTGTTTTGTTTTCCTATTTCTCTCCTAGTACTCTCTAACAGCCTATTTACCTTTTAGACCACTCCTGAGCACTGGGCTGACATTTTCATGAGACTATTTATTGCAACATGAAGTCTTGTTCCTCCATGGTCAGAGGCAGCTCAGAGTCCATCATCTTCTTTGTGTTTTTGGAATGTGCATCGCTCCTCAGTGAGTCCCATTTCTCATCCTAATGCCTGTTCCAGCAGCCTCAGAAGGTTTCTCTGCAGTCCTTCACAGCCAGTTTTCATCTCTAGCAGCCTAACTAATACCATCAGCAAATTAAAGACTATTCCTCTTCCCAGGCTCTTTATGAAAATGCTGAGTTGTGTAGTCCCAGGACACATCTCATGGATACAGCACAGCAGATCTCCTGCCACTGCATGAAATGGGTGATTTACACCTGGTTGTATTTCTCATCTTTTAACCCAATTTTTGCCCATGCAGTTTTCTCTCCTTTACAGCTGCTCAATCTGCCAGAGAAGCTTTGGTGAAAGGTTTGGCCCAAAGCCTCTCTGAACCCCTCACAGGCTGCAGTGACAGCCCTGTCCCTTTCCATCCACTTGTTGAGCCCTTCAGAGCCCTGTGATGGATTTCTAAGACAGGATTTTGTAAGATAAGATTTTGTAAGACAAGATTTTGTAAGACAGGAGTTCCTGGCACAAAAGCCGTGTTGACTCGTCCCTGGCATGTCACAGCTGTTTGGGCACTCACTGCTAATTACATTTGGAAGTAATTTGTCTGACTTCTGAGTTAGCAATTTGTAGTTTTCTGTTCCTCCTTGCAGCTGGTTATAAAAGACACATTTTCATCTTTCAAGCACTGAGGATTTTTAGTTCTCTTCATTCTTTTATCTTTCTATCTATAATTTACATTAACCCTCCTTCCACGGACACTGCAGCACATCAGGCATTTTTGGTCATATAGACTAAAATTGTTAGGATCATAAAATCATAGAATGGTTTGGGTTTGAAGAGACCAAAAATCATCAATCCCATGGCAGGGACACCTCCCACTGTCACAGGTGCTCCAAGTCCCAATGTCCAACCTTGGGCACTGCCAGGGATCCAGGGGCAGCCCCAGCTGCTCTGGGCACCTGTGCCACTCCCCACCCTCACAGAAGAATTTAATCCTAATATCACTCATTCTTGGGATGCTGCAACACCACGGACAGAACTCACTGGGCAGTGAATTAGTAACTAATCACACAGGTTTTCTGGAGCCACTCAGGTCAGAGCAGTAAATCCCAAATAAATTTAATTGCAGCCAAGCTGCATTTTTTTTCCAATATAACTAAAAAGGCAAAAAAGACAGAAAGAAGAGGCAAATCAAGGCAGTGCTTGCTGACATTAAGTGGCTCTGACTTGAAAAGGTATCACAGACGTTCAGAAATGAAAACAAGAAAGATAACAGGGTTACAAAGACATTTGCAAGCTGCTTGCACTCTATTGACTTTAAACAAGGAGATAAGGCTGCTTCCTCCACCCCTGTTACCCTCAAGAGTGAGGGGACTGTCAGGAAATCCTCAAGGCTTGGCCCAGCCCAATGCACTCCACAGCAGGATGCAGCAATATCTTGCTGCTTTAACTGCCCCCATCTCTTTTGTCTGTAGGTCCCTGTTTATCACAGGAAACAAATCCCTGATCTGCTGCTGCCTTTAATTCACATAATCAGAGAGAAGTTCAATAAAGCCAATGAGGAGGGGATGTAAAAGGGATAAGGATGCCAGCTCGGATATTATTTGACCCCCAGGTTTTGCCTATCTCCTGCTGATGAGAGGAGTCCTCTGACACATTCACTAAACTAAATGGAACAATCTTTGAAGCAGCAGCAATCTGTTTGGGAGGCAGCGATGGCTATTTCTGTTGGGAGGTAATTGGCTAGAGGAAAAGAAAAATCCTACAGGGAAGGAGGAAAGGTCTTGCACCTAAAACCTGAAGCTGCAATGAAAAATACCTGACCAATATTGATATTTCTATTTATATAATTCTGTATACATGGACAGTGAGGCCCTGGCACAAGGTGCTCAGAGAAGCTGTGGCTGCCCCTGGATCCCTGGAAGTGTCCAAGGCCAGGCTGGACAAGGCTTGGAGCAGCCTAGGATACTGAACAAGTGAAATGGCAGGGGGAAAATGAGATTATCTTTATGGTCCCCAACCCAAAGCATTCTATGATTGCACAGTTTCTATGGTTATGTTGACATAAACATAAATAATTAAATATAAACTTAAAAACTGTTATAAATATAAATTTGAATGTAAATAAATACAAATATAAATATAGTTACAGATATAAATATAGATATAAATATAAATGTAAATGTGGCTTCTCATTGACGGAAACAAACCTTCAACTAACTCACATTTGCTTGAGAAATTCCAGCCAAATTCTCAAACTTCCTTTGAGTTTAGCTGATTAGCTAATGCAGAAAGGAACTTCTAGGAACAGGAGGTCATGGCCAGTGTGCTGGACAAGCCAGAGTTTGCTCTCTAAGGATGAACTGAGCACATTCTTAACCCAAGCCCTGCTTGAACTTCCCCATCTCGAATGCCCTCAAGGCTCCCTGCCCTTCTGAGACTCTGAGGTTGGAGCTGGTGGGACACAAGCAGAGAAGGCAGAGCTCTGTTTTACACCAAACCCACCAAACCAACCCTCCACTGCCAAAACCCTGCAGGCAGGACATGAGCAGCATTTCCCAGGTGGTGTCTTGTCACTGACATATTTCCTGAAAAATAACCTTTGCCAGGGTTTTATTCCTGAGAAGCTGAGAGGCCTCAGAAAAGAAATGTAAACAATAATTATCTGATAGTGTGGAATGTGGTCTGGAGACGGTTTAAACCAACAGGTGCATCTTTGATTGGCTGCATGTGAGTTGTTTTTACCTGATGACCAGTCCTGGTCCAGCTGTGTCAGGACTCTGGTCAGTCACAAGATTTTATTATCATTACTTTTCTTTGCTGGCCTTCTGATGCCTCCCCTCTCTTTCTTTAGTAAAGTTCTAATATATCATTTTCTTTTAATATAATATATATCATAGAATGATAAATAAGCCTTCTGAAACATGGAGTCAAGATTCTCATCTCTTCCCTTAACCCTCAAACACCCCCACACATGCGTGCCCAACAAGAGGTGCAGCAAGTGGAGATGAGAATTGTTTTAATTCTATAGTTTTATAATTCTATAGTTTTAGT